GCCGGGGCACATTCAACTAGGAAGTCTGCCACAGCTTGGCCTTTTATAGTCGTGCGCGGCTGAAACTTAAGGTCATATTCACTCAGTTCGACACTCCATCAGATGAGCCGACCAGAGAGCTCTGGCTTCTGCAGTATTTTCCTTAGCGGGAAATCAGTATAAACAACAATCTGGTGTGATTGGAAGTAGGCTCTCAACTTACAAGCTGTGTAAACCAGGGCAAAAGCAGCTTTTTCTGCTAGTGGGTAGTTCTGCTCGGCACCTTGCAACACCTTACTCACGTAGCAGATAAGCTTCTAATGTTTATTTTCTTCCCTCAGTAGTACTGAATTCACTGCTTCTTCTGTTACCCCCAGATAAAGATATAAACATTCTCCCTCAACAGGCTTGGACAGCAGGGGTGCGGATGCCAAATATCGTTTGAGCTCGTCAAATGCTTGTTGACATTCATTAGTCCACTGGAAGTTCTTAGGCTCCCGGAGAGCTTTGAAAAACGGAAGGCATCTTTCTGCCGATCTGGCTACAAACCTGTGCAGCGCAGCAACACGGCCTGTCAAACGCTGCACGTCTTTGACAGTTCTTGGTGGCTCCATTTGCTGAACGGCCTCAACCTTTTCTGGATTTACCTCAATTCCTTTCTTGGATACTACGTATCCTAGGAATTTTCCCGACTCTACGGCAAATGTGCATTTCAAGGGATTCAGCTTCATTTGTGCTCGGCGCAGATTCTGAAAAGTTTCATCCAGGTCGCTAATGTGATCCTCAGCTCGCACGCTGCTGACTATCATGTCATCTACATATACTTCTATGTTCCTGCCGATCTGGAGCTTAAAGATGATTTGCACCAGCTTCTGGTATGTTGCTTCAGCATTTTTGAGGCCAAATGGCATCATGACATAACAGTAGATAGCGTCCCCCGCGTAGAAAGCTGTTTTCTCCTGGTCGTCCAACAGCAGCTGAACCTGGTGATAGCCCGAGCTGGCGTCAAGAAAACTCATCCGTTCATGCCCAGCTGCCCGCTCCACTAACTTCTCAACGTTTGGCAAGGGATGAGGGTCCTTTGGACACGCATCATTGAGGTTGGTGAAATCAATACACATCCTCCACTTGCCATTTGGCTTTTTGACGAGCACAGGGTTGGACACCCACTCGGAGTACTCCACTCTTCTAATGAAACCTGCCTGTAACAGCTTTTGTATCTCCTCGTCTATGGCGGCTTGTTTCTCTGGGCCAAAAAGGCGCCGTTTCTGCACCATCGGCCTTCTGGTAGGATCTGTGCTGAGTTTGTGGACTGTTAACTCTGCCGGGATGCCAGGCATTTCATCAGTAGTCCACGCGAACACATCTTGATTGACCCTCAAGAACTTCAGAAGCTCTGCTCGTTCTTCTTCTGTGAGTTTGGTGCCTATCTTTACTGTTCTTTTCGGCACATCAGGGTTTAAAGGAACAGTTTCCACTGGCTCTACCGGCTCTGCTTTCTGCTCGACACCCTCGGGCCTATGCTCAATGTCCGATATGCTCATTGTCTGCTGTCCGGGCTGAGTCGGCCTACTACTTTCAGATCCTCCAGGGGCTACAGCGAGCTCAACCTTCTTAAACGTATCCTGATAACATGCCCTGGCCATTTTCTGGTTCCCCTTCAGCACTCCCACCCCTTGCGGAGTTGGGAACTTCATACAAAGGTGGGGCTGTGAGATAACAGCCTTTAGCTCGCACATGGTGGCTCTTCCTAGTATAGCATTGAAAGCTGATTACATCTTAACGACCAAGAAGGTGACCGAAGCCATCCTGAAGCGCGGTTCTGAGCCCACATATATAGGAAGAGTAATAACTCCCTCAACAGGGACGGGCTGGTTATCGAACCCGTATATTGGTCCTTCGTGCTTCTGCAACGAGCTCGGATTTAGCTGCATCTTCTGGAAGCAACCCCAATACAAGATATCTAGCGAACTGCCAGTGTCAATAAACACCTTATTGACATTATGATTGCCTATATGAACTGTTGTCACAAAGGGATTTGCGTGGGGCATCATAATGTCCGGCTCTCCTTCTGCTCGCTTGTAATCTGCCGGGCTGAATGTGATGGGCGTATTTTCCCATTCTGCTTCCTCAAACGGTCGTTTCAAGGGTCTGTTTTTGTTGATGGTCATTACCTGTCGGGCATATGCCTTACGAGCTTGGGCGCTTTGGCCCCCAGAGTGAACACCACCCGATATCATGTTTATTGTACCAGAAGGTGGGGGTATCCCAGCATAACCTACCCCTTTTCTGTCTTTTTGATTCGGAGCAGTAGTTCTCGGTCCCTGCCCTCTCCTGTTGAAAGGACGTCCTCGGTACGCTCTGCTCTGTTCAGAAGGATACTGGTTATCCTGATATGCATCCTGCGTCCCTCCCTGCTGGTACCTCTGTCCTTGAGGTCGGTCATACGCCTGCACAAAATGGGTTTGAGTGGGTTGCTGGGTGTGAGGCTTCTGAACATACCCTTCTAGCTTCCCGTTACAAGCCAAAAACTCTAACTCGTCCTTCAAGTGTTGGCAGTCCTCGGTATTGTGACCATATACACGGTGGTAGTCACAATGCTTGCTCTTATCTGCCCTCGGGGAGTCATGTAGTGGGGGTGGAGGTCTCCGAACCCAGTGCTGAATTTGTGCTAGGATTTGAGACCTGGGTAAGGTCAAAGGAATGTAACTGGCATATTTTGGGAACTTAGCTGGTTTCCCCCATTGCTCACCCACCTTCTGCTTCTTCTTTTCTTCTCTTCTCAGTTGTTGTTCTTGGCCTCTGCTCGACTTATCATCAGCTCGTCGCTTAGACGACTGAAAGTCCTCTGATAGTATAAAGCTGGCCGACCTGTCATTCACCTCGTTCCACGTCTTCGGTGGGTTTTCAAGCAGGTCGTCTAGGAACCGGCCACGCTTCAACCCATGCAATAGGGCGGACAGGCAGATCGTGTCTGGGACATTATCAATGTCCAATGTGGCTTTGTTGAACCGCTGCATGTAATCCCTCAAGGACTCCCCTTCCTTCTGGCTAACTTGCATCAGCTCCGTTGCTGTGCGCTTGATCTCCCTTTGGCTTGCAAATTTGTTAGAGAACGACTTGGCGAGCTGGGAAAATGAATCTATTGAATGCCTGGGGAGTTTGTGATACCATCTTCGGGCTATTGATTTCAGTGTCGCCGGGAACACTTTGCACATCATGGCATCATTAGCGTTTTGAATCCTCATGATGGCTTGATAGGTGTGTAGATGTTCATCCGGGTCTTTCGTGCCATCATATGTCTCTAGGTGGGGAATTTTGAATCCCTCTTGATATGGCTCTGCCGTGATGGATAGGTTCAGCGGAGCACTATCCAAATCCAAAGTCTGCTGATGCGACCGGGGGCTTTTCAGCTCGTCAATGGAGTTCTGTACATCCCGCAGTTGCCTTTCAAGGTCTGCGTTCTTTCTCATCAATTCTTCACTGTATTTGGACGAGCTGGGCTCGATATTCAACTTCCCACTTCCCCTCGGCTTGGTCGGCACTACTATATTGCTTAGAGCGAGGGAGTTTCTAGTTGCAACAACCGCAGCTGGTTGTGCATCCCTGTTCAGCAAAGGAATCAGGGGGTCATTAGGGATTAAGCGGGCAAGGATTCTTCCCATTGCCATTTCGAGAACTCTGGTTCTCTCTTCGAGCTCGGTTGTCCGAGCAGGTTCTGTTGACCTTTCAGGTTGTTCACGCTGTAAATTGTTCGGTCTGGCAGATCTTTGCCTCGTTCCTGTTGGAGCTTGGAACTGTTCAGGCTGGGTTGCATACCCAGTTGGTGTTCTTTCATCATCCGTCTCACTTAGGTGATCCTGTTCGGCTCCTCCTACAA